TGTTCTTTATTGTGGATATTCTGTCCACATTTATCGCAAATGGTCTAACTGACCGGTATGCGATGACTTCCGGTGCTGCGTATTAGGTGAAAAAGTCCTTGGCTGTTCTCTGATGCAGAAGCTACCTCCATTTCACTAGTTATTTTGGCCCACCAATTTTCGCGATCTTTCTTAAGATTATCCCTGAATTCTTCTCCTTATAGTGTGTGCAGACAGGTGGAACGCGCAGACGATGATGAGCTAATTGAGGAGGCGATTTCTGCCGACGACCGCTAAGTCGAAGAGTGAAGCGTAACATAACTAGTGCATGGTCAGACTCAACGTAGGTGATCCAATAGGATCTGCAATTCTGTACTGAACCACGCCAACGGTAGCTTACAGTTATGTGGTCAATTTGAGTCAATTTTCCCGTTGAACTAGAACACCATGTAGCCATTCGACGAGAGCTGCATCGAAAGTTGGTGCTAGATAAAAACGGCCCATGATCCGCGCAGAACTGAAGTAATCGACCACCGTTGTCTTTTCGCTGGGTGGGGAGGGCGAAGTGCCATCCTAGGCAGGCTTCGGATGCGCGCACTTTTCCAACCTGTGCGTTAAAATCACCTGCTATCGATATAATATTATAGCTGCGGCACAACCGAATCAGTTCGGCGAGTTTGTCTTAAAATTCGTCCCTTTGTGAAGCGGGACTGCAGTTGGTGGGTGCATACGCGGAAATGATGAACACTAACTGAACCCTGTAGCCTCATTGTGCACAAACGACTATTGACGGGTATTCAATCTATCATAGAGGCTTCAGCTTTTTCGTTTAGTACGATCCCTACAACACGCTGACCCAGTGAGCCGGCTTCGTCGCCTCCTGATGTGCAAAGGAAATACCTCGAGGACAGACCCGGGGCACTCAGGTGGCTTATAATACTAGGATCCTGAATTCGTGTCTCCGATACGCAACAGACATCGATTTCTAGAGACTGCATTGTACGCGCAAGACACGCCTGTTGACCCACCTGCATAAGAGTCATCACGTTGAAGGCCCCCAGACTGAGAGGTTGAGGCTTCAGAATCTGCACTTTACTTACAGTGCTATTTGGCAACGACCTTTGGCGAGTGACGACCAAGTTGTCTGAGGAAGTTACGGGCCAGAAGAAGGGGTAAAGGGATAGGGTTGGGTACGGAAGACAAAGAGTTAAACAAAGGTTGAGATATCTGAGCAGTAGCCCACTTATCACTAACCACTCCGCTCGATCCAATGGGCAGCGCGGTCCTGATTATCCTGTGCAACGACCGATGCAGTATGAAATTATTGCTAGTTTGTTTTCATTGGAGCTTTATGGACGGGTCCTGCCAGGGTGTCCAGCGTCTAAGCAGGAGAAAGATTAGGGTGCTCAGCCAAAGCTTTTGGTTCTAACAAGAACCTAACCGCAAGGCAGCGGTTAAAGCGGGTTGGAGGCCCATTAAATTGGATCAATTATTCCTCCAACACGTTTTACCGACTGAGACGCCGACTCAAGTCGAACCCCCAACCTGGAAGACCAAGAGACTGGACTTTGTCTAACCTCTACCCATTGACTTTCCAGGCCTTGCCCAGCACGTGCCAAAAGAGCACGGAAGGGTAGATGATGGGAAGGAATACGCAAAACGTGACTAAACCATCGGATGCGGCGCAGTGAAATTACGTCTTTTAGAGAACGACTATCCGCACTCAACAGGCGACGATGAATCTCGCCATTGCTCACCCGATGCTCCCACCAGACAACCAATACTTCGGAGGCATCGGTGGTCGAATACAGAAATTCCATTCGCGTCCTCAACGTGGAGGTGCCAGGTCCCGCAACCGGAAAGCAGAACTGTAAAAACCGCCGAGACGTACAACCTTCCCTTGAAGGACAGTCGGATCTCATGGTGGCACCACGGGTGTCGTAGGTTGGCAAAATTCGCTCTAACTTTCGCTATTCATGATGTAATCCTCCCAACACCACCTCTAGCTGCGACCAAGCTCCCGAGGTACTTGAGGCTCTCAGCTAGATCCAGCTAATCACCACAGAGGGTGAGTGCAGGCACAGGCTCTTGCCAGTCTTGAACAAGCACTTCACACTTGGATGGTGCAAAGTACTTACAATATCTGGATAGCTCGGTCGCCAAGCGGTTTAAAACGTGTTGGACTGCCTGTGCATTGTCACCCAGTAAGGTTATGCCATTGGCGTGTTCTGCGTCAAGAACTCTGTTCCTTACGAAAAGTTCTACTTCACCGTTTGCTATACCGGACATCTAGTGCAAAGTTGGAAAGGAATGGGGATAGGGGGGCTTTTTTGCACTCCCCCGGTCGGCCAGATACCCTTACCGGACATGAAATATGATTATACAACTCTTTGAGGATCGACACATTCTTCTCAGGTAATAAATAAACAAACAGTTCCATTGTGCGGTCCTATCGATGAAATCGAAGTTCGTGTGCAATTGAGGTTTACTGCGTAATAGAGGCAGTGAACAAATTTTTCTATCTGGACGGCTATATCACACCCGGCGGACACATCACGGACGAAGCATCGGCTCATTAAGGGAATAGAATAAAAAGAGACTGTCGGTGTTAAAACACCGCTGTCTGTACCGCATTGCACGAGTCTGGTGGGGAAACCGGACAAGCAATGTTGAGGTCAGGGGCAGAGTTTTACGTAAGAGCGGTGGTCTACTGAAGCAAATGGTCGACCTCCAGATATTGGACTGGTTGAGACATGTGTTGCACATGTCACCAAATAGGTTGCCAAGGAGAGCGATATTTGCCGAGGCAATAAGCGGTTGGGAAAAGGCCAAAGGCGGTCAAAATAAGACTTGGCATGAGGTATGAAAACCCTAACCAAGAGACTCGATCATATAGGTATTGTTTGTCTCCCTGAACGAGGCCCCCGAGGTCAGAAACATCTAGTGATACAGCTGTCACATATAGTGGCGCTCATGCATCTCAAGTTCAGTCTTCACGAGCCCTATATTATCAACCTGACATTGATTTGAACATCTCAATCTTCCCTTTAGCCTCCATTCAAATGAGCAGTCATGAAACAGCAACCAAAAGCGGTGCATGAAAGTACATGATCAATGGTTATGAAAATTGAGGAAAGGAGCCAAGTACATATTCGATGGGTTGCTTACAAGACAAAGAAGCGACCAGATCTGTACCGATATCTGCTACTATGAAATTTTCACATGAATCGACTGACTAGTAGAATGTCAGTGAAAAGTTAATTCCACTCTAAAAAAGTCCAAAGGCTTAAAGCAAAATGTCACTTACGATGCGAATATCGTCTTCATCGTATACATCGGTTGTTGATCCATCGACAACCATAANCGGAATAACGAGCCATTCGCGCAACGTAACTTTTCTCCAGAGCGGTAGCATAAGCATCCAAAAACTTATCGGTCAAATTCCGAGCGTTCAACTCCCAGGGCTGGAAGAAAAATAAATTGAAAGGATTGGGGTGAGTTCCCTCCTCTTCCCCCTCCCTATTTTGTCCCTCTTTGGCCTTTTAGTTATGACATGATTTGCTTGGTACAACTTGAACCCCAACCAGGTTAGAAGCTGATATAATTGATTTCACAGGTACATGCTATCGTAGTGAGTAGCAGAAAGAATAAATCTAATGATCATGAAGACGTAGTAGATGGTGAAGAAAAACAGAGACACGAGGCATAGAACCGAAGAGATCAACACTGTAACCGGTGGTTTAAACTGAAAGAAAGCTATTCGAGTTGCGTGATCACTTCATGCAATAACTGTGGATCTATTTTCCATTTCTTTAAACACGCAGACAATTTCTTGAAAAAACATGAATGCGTAAAGTTACGTAACACGTATGCCGGATACAAATGAGTAAAACAACCGTCACGTTGATTGCGAGGAACGTACGATGTTGCGCTTCTTCAGATGTTCTCGAATTTGCTCTTTCGGTGCCTTTACATAAATAACTAAATGGGGCCTCCAGAGATTTTGGACAGTTATCCCGTGGTTTTGATTGAACCACCTATAAGCTAGATGGAGGAATGAGAAAATGGAGCAGGCTCACCTTTCTCAGACAGGTAGCCACACTTGTACATGGCCTCCGAAAAAGCAATTTCTGAAAAAGGACTTCGGTCAATTACAAAACCTCGACCTAAAGGAAAAACCATGAAATACTGCTGAATATATGCTCAAACCTGTGTTGAATAAACAGCACAAGGCCTTTAAGTAATTCCAGTATCTCTGTATATAGTACTGATATTGGAGGTAAAGTGGTTTTCCATGATTTATAAGGTCTGGTTCATTCCAGAACATTTCTCCCGTGTAATACTTCGCGGAATCAGGTAAAAGAGCATTGTGAACGCGCAGGTCAAATGGAGGATCACTATTAATGCGGTAAATATCGTCCTCCGTTGGATCAGGAAAATGAACCATTCCAAAGTAGCTGGATAATCTGGCCGCAAGGTGGGATTTCCCCGACGCGATATTTCCTTCAACGACAATAACCTTGCTATTTTCATTTAAACGGGTGTACGTCGGGTCCATCATCGATTTCACTATTCCGAAATGTGTTCCAATGTAGTCGTAATTTGGGGGCTTTTTAAATGTGACATCTCCAGACTCGATTAATTTCAAGCAGCGAACAAAACCTCGCAAGACTTCAGGCTGACGCCTGAGGAGCGAGAGCGACGCGTAGCTGCCGCAAGCCATTTACGGAGATGTGACCTTCGACGGTAGGAATGACCTTCAGTTCAGGTCAGGTCAGGTTGCAGGACTGAATATGGCCACAGCCAATCGAGCGTACAGAATTCCTTCGATGGTATGCTCACAAAGTGGGCACCCAGCACTGCTGAAATAAGAATG